TCCCTGGATCCCTTCACTCTAAGGGATCTCTTTCAGGCTTTCTTCTTGCTCTGATCCAATCCTGCTCTCTGCACCTCTTGCAACAAATTCTTCTAGCCCATCCAAAGGGCGCTCAGCAGATGACACAGTTCTCCTACTTAATTTCTTGGCCTTAAAGGGATATCGGGCCTCTCCACAAAAGGTCCTAATAGCATGTAAAGAGGTCACATATCTAGGGTTCTCTATCTCTCAAGGGAAAAAGGCCATTACAGTAGACAGAAAACAGCTTTTTGTGTCTATACCTACATCAAAGACCAAAAATGACATACTCTCCTTCTTGGGTTTGGCTGGGTACTTCAGGGTCTGGATTCCTAATTTCTCCCTCCTCACCAGGCCACTATATAATCTGGCCAAGGGCCCCTAAGATGAACCCTACCATCAGAGGTAGGGAAGCCCTTTACAATCCTTAAAAAGGCCCTCTTCCGGGCACCCGTCCTGCATCTCCCCGACCTCTCCCGACCCTTCACCCTCTAGGTACATGAAAAACAGGGACAAAGTCTGGGCGTTCTGGGTCAGGAATATGGCCCCACATTTGCACCAGTGGCCTACCTATCCAAACAGCTCGACCTCACCATCAGGGGCTGGCCCCATATCTTAGAGCCCTAGCAGTGGCCCATGACCTCCAGAAAGAAGCACACAAGCTTACCTTTGGCTCCCCGCTAACCACCTCATCTCCTCACCATCTAAAGGATTTCCTCACTTACAAGGGGCTACAGTCACTTCCTCCTTCCAGGGTTCTATCCCTCCTTGTCTCATTCCTTGAAAATCCCTCCATCTCTTTTCAGCCCTGCTCTCCATTAAACCCTGCCTCCCTCCTTCCATCTTCTCACTCCCAAGATCCCATCCACAAATGCCTGGAGGTATTAAAGACAATTTTACCCTGCTGTACCACCATTTCTGAGGGACCCCTGCCCTCTTATACACGAAGGGGTTAAAGTGGCAGGGTATGCTGTCGTTTCTCTCTCATCCATTGTAGGGGCAAAACCTCTGCCACCCAATACCACCAATCAACAAGCTGAACTCATAGCTGCCACAAGGGCATGTGAGCTAGCAGAGGAAAAACCCTCTCCCTATATACAGATTCCAAATATGTCTTCCGTATCCTGATCTCCCACGCAGCCATTTGGAAAGAAAGGGGGCTATTGACCACCAGAGGGAAGGCAGTCATTAATTCCACACTTATTTCTGGCCTACTATGAACCTCCAGGCTGCCTTCCCAACTGGGAATAATCCATTGGAAGGCCCACCAAACTGACTCCTCCCTTACTACTATGGGGAATCCAAGGCCGATCAAGCGGCTCGATCAGCCACCCTACAGAGCTTTAACTCCTCTCTGCTACTCTTTGTTACCACCGGGGATCGGCCCAAAGATCCCCAGCAACTCTTCCAGTTTCTTCACTCTCTATTCCATTCTAGTCCACAGAGTCTCACTACTTTCTTTCACTCCTTTTTCACCCTTTCCCCATGCACTAAGACCCTCCTACAACAGATCACTTCTGCTTGTCAGATCTGCCAGAAAACCAATACCAATACTCCATTAAAACCTAAACCTTTTCCTTTTTATCAGGCCCGCAGTCGTACCCGGCTGCAGACTGGCAGATTGATCTCACCAACATGCCCCAAGTAAAAAACATAAAATATCTTCTTGTATTGGTAGATACTTTTTCGGGATGGGTTGAAGCCTTTCCCACTTCTAACAAACAGGCCTCTACGGTAGTTGATCTGTTGCTTACCCACATAATCCCCTGTTTTGGGATGCCCACTTCTAACCAATCAGACAATGGCCCAGAATTCACCTCGCAGATAACTCAGGGACTGGCTCAAGTGCTATCATTCCCTTGGCATTTCCATTGCCCTTAATGCCCCCAGGCTTCCAGAAAGGTTGAAAGGACCAATCGGTCCCTTAAAGAGACCCTCACCAAGCTCACCATGGAATTAAGACTGGACTCGGTAAAGGTGCTCCCCTTGGCTTTATTGTGCATTAGGGCCTTGCCAAAAAAGCCTTCTAATCTCTCACCTTTCGAAGTCATGTATGGCTGTCCCCTCGTTCCTCCCGGATTGCCTACAGAACCCCTACCCATCTCTGAAACCTATGCTCTCCCCCTCCTCTTCCATCTACGCTCTGAACTCTGGCTCTATCAAGACTGGCTCCTTCCTGACCCCAGTCTCTTTCAAAACCCTACCTCCTCAACACCTGGTCAACTTGTTTACTATTGCCCACCGGGGGAAAAGCCCCCTCTAAAACCAAAATGGGAGGGTCCTGCTCAGGTGATTATGTGCACTCCCTTGGCAGCCAAACTCAAGCTGTCCAATAACCAACTTACCCCATGGATTCACATTTCCAGGCTTAAGCCCAGCGCTCCTACACCTTCATCAGAAGACCCAACGATCATCACCTGTCATTAAGTACTCTTGTCAATGCTCCCCCTCATTTCTGGCCCCTCTTGGGTCCTCTCTTCACCCTATGTCTGGGCAAGTGATCCTAAGGGCTCCCTCCAGCCAGACCCCCTTTTCCTCCTTACTACAGACCCCCCTTTCTTGCTTGGATTTGGCCGGTAGTGGGACCGTTGTGTGTTGTCCTTCTGACAAACCACTTAGGTGTCTGGAGCATGGTGACCCCTGAATAAGTGTGAGCTACCTTTATCATAAGAGAACACTTTATCAGTTGCCTTCTGGGCCTAAGGAGGAACATGTGTGTTTTGTTTACTCTCCCAATTTCGTAAGAATTTCAAGTATCAGTATTTAAAGTTGAGGTGTTTCACATAAAACCTGAAGAGATCTGACTGCTCTCAAAGGGAAATATGGTAACAATGGGCCACTGTCCTCCCTTGGCCGCCTTTGAAAAAGGTAAAGAGAGAAGCAAGCTGGTACACCCAGGTAGGAGAGAGTTTGAAGAGCAGCCTTAATAGAGAGGGGAGGGAACTAGATTGGACTAGGAATGAAGAGTGGAATTGGGGGTGTTAGGTGCAGGACAGGCTGGTCTGCAGGGCATGCAAAACAAAATTAGCTGCAGGATGACCTGGCTTCTCAGGTCAAACAAAGTTAGCTGCAAGATGACCTGTTTGCTTCAAGCCCAAATGCCCAAGCCCCCGCTCAAGGCTGAACACTTAACCCCCATTGCGCCAACAAGGCAGCTTGCAGAACCAGAGACTCCATTAGATTTGGGCTATAAAAACTCCCTGTGCCTGTTCCTTCCCTTTAAAGTTCATTCAGACTCAGGTGGATAAAAAATTTCGAATCAAGCTTTTAACCAGCTTCTCCTCAGGAATTACCAACTCCTGGCTACCTCCAGTCGAGACCTATGCAGAATGGACTGACATCATCATGAATTTGTGGTTGCAAGGAACCTTCATTGATCTGGTTCCTGAAGTTATACCGGTCTTTTCTGCCTTCCTGTGAGGGTTTCTTACTTCCCTCCTTTCTTTCTCCCACACCGTCCCATCTCAACAAGAAGTAGCCATAATGAGTCCATGCCCACTCTCATTTAATAACAAAGAGGGGGGAATGTTGGGAGTCACCCCGGCTCCAAAGACTAACTTCCCCATCCCCCAAGAAGAGCCATCCAATGGTGAGCCCTGTTGGCTCACATGATCCTTACCCACCAATCAGACTAGCCCTGCTGGCTCACATGATCCTTACCCACCAATCAGAAAGCACCCCATGCCAACCATCAAACCATTAAACTGTTAAACTGTCATAACTGTCATAACCCTCGGCTCTATAAATATGCAGAGCTGTTCCTCAATGAACGAGCATTTTCCCCAATGATGAGCCTTGTTTGTTCTTTCACTGATACCTTCCCAGTCAGAAAGGATCTCTAACAATCTCAACCCAGGATAGTTTCCTAAGGGTTCTCCCAGAGAGTTTCTAAATTTCCCTTTTCTTCAATCTCAGCAGAATCACCAGGGTCCTGAAGGAAAATTCATAGCTTTTATTCCTAATGGTTGTAGGACTAGGGATATGGAAGGAGGGTGGTCTGAACAGGACTTCATGTCTGCACCCCTAGAGAAAGGCCTTCCAATCTGGTTTTACAAGCTGCCCACCGTCTTTCTGATGAGCACCCGAGAGACATCCTTGGAGATGAGTCTATGTGGGTTTGAGCTCCCCCATGGGTCTGTGGTGCCCCAGGATTTTATATTCTCATATTATACCACGTTTGGCCTTTAGCACTGTACTAAACTCTCGATAGTGATTCTTCTTACATGTATGATGATGACATCTCTCTGAGAGAATGGACTCAGTTATAGTTCAAGACACAGACTCTGATTTGGTCTCCAAATGAACATTCATTCTGCAAATCAAGGCCACAAGTACAAAAACTTCCCCTCCTGGACTGTCCCCACCTACACCACACAATTCTCCAGCTTCCACAATAAGATGTCTCCTCGGTCTACAAACACCTCCTGGAGAACACCCCCGTTGGGGC